ATCGAAAGGATACCGAGATCGTGCCAGGATAGAAGCTTGGTTACAGAACGTAACGGAATTCGCGCGGAGTCACAATCAAAGTGTAAGTATATGAATGGAAGCACAATATAGCTGTCATTAGCACAGTCAAACAAAAGCACATTAAAACAAGCACTGGTACAGTTGGTTATAATAATAATTGTTTTTACTAAACCAGTCGTGTTTACGTGATAAATGTGAGTCACTACACACGAAAACATGAAACAGAAGAAGACCAATAAAAGATACAGCGAAAGTATAACGCTGTTAAATTTGACAGAATACCGACTCAGAAAATGTTAGTGACACAGTTCTTATAAGTCGAGTAGATAAATACATGTAGTACTACATACATATTTACAAAAGTCAATAACGATTCCAAGTTAATAATTAGCAAAGCCTAATATATTTGTATACAGAAATTGTGGTATGTGCTACTGATGTCGACAGATATAATTAGTATGTATCACCAATCGAGAGTGGAATGCCTGGCGGCAGAAGGTTGAGAAACTCGAAGAGAACAGAGAGTGGTTGGTATGGAAACTAAGGAACAACAAAGTTTGAGACAATTGATGGACCTCAGATTTTACCAAGATATCCTGTAATGTTGCATCAAAATACATATGGTTATCCCCGTCTGCGTTCTTGTTCACTACAAAATGACCAATAAGATCAAAGTGCACTACCTGTCCAGAAACAAGAATAAGCTCAGATGGGCTATTGAAAAAACACCAGCCAAATATTTATGGTTGACGAGCTTACTATTGTTAAACAGTTGCCCTGACCGATTATGATAATCTCAAAAATTAATGGTAGAATCTCAGTGAATAAATCTATTTCCATTCATCTTTTTTATTATGAAATATAGTGTGGCTCAGCAAATTTAAATAACCAAGTTTTTTTTACTAAAACACTCAAAGAAGTAAAAACGGTCTCTAATAATTGTTTGTCCAAAAAAATCTATTAAACTTTAAACACGTTAGCGTGAAACTTATCGTCTTTCTAAAGTTTCCTGTCAACTAAAACTATACTACAAAACTGATAAGAATTCAATGGGTAATCAGAATTCATTTAAAAAGCTCATTTGCAAAATAAAATTTGATGATTAGAAGTATTCAGATCATTATACGAACTAGGAATTCACGAAATAGCACAATTTAAACCAGGCAGAACTAGGTGAGTACAAACGAATGTGTTGTACTTAGCATTCAAAATCAGGCACGCATCAATTACAAAAGAATCATTAGTTCATACAAATACTACATAATGCCAAACAATGAAATAAGAGAAACACTAAAATATTTGGTTTGTGACTTGAGTAAACTAATTTATTAAGTCATTATGTTTTCTTACAATAATTATTTATTGAATTCCACTCAACTGTTTATTAAAATGTTAGAAATATTTACTGTAAATCAGCATCCTTTTTAATGGAATGTTAATACCGTATTGTTTTCATTCCAGTTTAAAATGACTATAATATTAGGCTGATTATTTGAAGGATATTACCAGTCTGCAAGATAACTCAGTGGTATATATGAATTGAGCTATGAATACTGTAATAAACCGTGGTTGTTTATCATACAAAGGTAAAGTGAATTTTTAGTTTCCATTATATTTTGTCCTTTTAATCTATACTTCAAAATACTAAGAACACTCAATCAAACTATTTGAATCGATCAAACATCACTGATATTAAAAGCTTCAGTTATGTGTGAATAAAAATGCTAAATTATCAAATAAACTTTTTTTGAAAACGTGGTTAATCACGTGAGACGTACCTAACTAGGTGTGTCTGGTTAACAAATTTTGATTTCTTAGGCGTCCAACGAAATGATCAAAAATTATGTAGATAAATTTTTCAAAAATATTTCATTTAGAAAATCCATAAACTCCTACATAAAAAGCGTGTTTTTATCATACAATTATTGCTGTGAGATTTCTGAATTATTAAGAGCCATCAGTAATTCGAACGACGTAAAACACACTTTATCAATATTGGAGATGCCAGATCACCAAAAACCTTTTGAGAAACCTCTTATTTTCGTGTTTTAACTGTGGAAATTCGAATTCCTCATCTTCGCGCCTTCAGTTTGTATTTCCAGCCTGAAGGGACCTCAGACGTCATGGGTTCGTTTTCTCTTATAGTACGTTGTTTTATGACGCTTTCCAAGGATATTTCTGTGTTTTACATGTTAAGCATGAGTTGAGTGCTTGTTGTTCGTTTTTCCGTACTGCTTGTGAAATTACATATACCGCCTGCTGAATTTTGTCTTCTTCCTCTGGTTAACAGGGTTAGGGGGCCCATCCAGGTGTTAGGATTAATCGGGTATATAATAACGTAGAAGCCGCTACAATTTCAAACGACTTCTAAAACTGATGTACGTGAAGTAGGGTTCAAATCAGCTACCTAATGAGATGACCTAATCATGTTAAATGACAACTAATGAATATTGTATTAAAGACCAATATTATTCAATAAACTTAGAGAATTACTCATACTATTGACGATGATCAACTCGGTAAGGTTTAATAGGACATAAAACAACTTTTAGCACATATAACTGATTTGTAAGTGGATAGTAAGAGAAATGCAAAATGACAACGAATCCATTAATCCAAACCCACTTGTTCGAGAAAATCAACTGCAGCTCCGGACATCAGTGCAACAGATAGAAAAGCAGTGACAATAAAGCAGCATAGTTATTCAAAAATATCGACTTTATTGTGTTACAAAGAAATAAAGAAATGTAGATAGCCAAGCATTACTGGAACATTAAATGTCAGTGTTAGGACAAATTACCAGAGGTCTATATAGCATATGACCGTTTAAATAATACTAGAAACTTTTAATACTTTAAACTTTTTGGTAATAGTCATGATGTCAAATAGCTAATTTAATTCAGAAAGAACAAAGCAGTAATACTTGGATATTATTCACAGAATTAACGGAAACATTAATGAATATATAAATATATAACAGTTTGTTAATTACTTCGTAAATGTAACCAATACAAAGCATTTTCCATGATATATCGACCAATTCAATTAGTACTAACTACAAAAGTTTAGCAAACTAAGTGATCGTCACTGCACTGGAAATCAATGAAGGAGATTCATATAGGATTAATTAGTGAATGGGAATCACTTTACTTCAATATGTATTTTCTTTGCAATGCTATACTTATGGATTTAACATTCCCAACACATACTGGTTGAAACTTGAATCTACTAGCTAATACTATGTTTATCAAAGGCAATGAGTTATTCTAATGAAAATACTAACAAGTAGTAATACAGACCAATTATTTTTTGAAGGCAGTTGTTTACAGATACTGTTTTAAATAAACTTAACTGATTGTCGTAATAACTATAGATATTAATGGCAAGGTAGGACTTGACAGCTTCAAATAAATTGAGCACTGAGTAGGAAGTAAAACAGTAAATATATTGTGGTATCTCAATGAGTAGAAAATTGTATTTCTGACGTTCCATGATTTACATTAAGTCAAGAAACGTCAGAAATACAATTTTCTACTCATTTACATATCACAAAAATATTTATTATTATAATAATTATGTTTGTACTTTTAAATTGTGAGTATATTATCTCATCTAGTGAATAAAATCTCACAGAAATACTCTGAGACATTCTTCCAACTACACTTTACTCTCGCTCAGAATGTATTATCTAGGAATCATTACCGAAATTTCACTTTTCTAGCTTTTACTTTTCTTATACAAAAAGATCTTTCTCGCTAACTAAATGAATTGGATAGTTGCAGTGTATCAGTCAGTCATTCATCTACAACATAGGACGAGGCACATATATGCATCAGTCCAAGTTGCCATACCTCATTAGCACAAGATGAACACCAAATTTATAGAAGTAGTTACTTCAATGGTAGTAATGTATAAAAGAAAGATTTTGTATAAGGATATAATGCAGGAAGAAAGAATTAGTTCGTAGAAATAAAGTAATTTTAATCTCATGGTTTAAGGGAAGACAAAGAGTGTATACACCGACACCATTGTGATAAATTCTGAGCTATGTCACCTAGAGTTTCCAACGACTGGTTACGATAGTCGCGCGGACCCCAACCAAATAGTCTGCACTTACCAACATGGCTCAGATCGGAGGTTAGTGACTTCAAGAGCTGATGCCACGTTTTAGTTTGGCCGCCCCTAACTTTCTTCCACCCGTCTCCAACACTAGTCAGCATTGCACGTCGTGGTAATCGGTGTTCAGGCGCACGTAACACATGACCCAACCATCTTAGTCGATGAAGACTCACAACCTAACCGAACGATTTACTAGCAGTCCCTGGTACCCTTCGTCTAACCCCACTATTACTTACCCTACCCGGTGATCCCAGCAAATGCGAGCAACATCTGTGACCAGATACCAGTCACTTACGAGTATCTTCTACCCTTAATGGCCGCATTTCATAACCGTAAGGTAAAACAGAACGGACTGTTGCGCAATATACTCGTCCCTTAATTGATAGGCGGATATCTTGTTTCGCCATAGGTGACGTAAGTTTCTAAAAGCCAAACGAGCTTTTTGAATCCCTGAAGAGATTTCGTCAGACACCAACCCATTAGAGCTGATCAAACTTCCAAAATAAGTGGTGTCAACGCGTTTGACTGCTTCTTTTCCTATCCTTAGTTCAGGTGTTGATGCGGGCCAATCCTGAAGCAACAATTTGAATTTAGAAGGGGAGAAACACTGTTTGTCACTTATTATTCTTGTTATTAACAACCATTATGGACTAAAATTATCTCACCAAGTAAGGTAGTTTTGTATTGTTGGAAGTAATTGATAGTACAAACTAAAGTCACTTGATAACAAGTGCATGTTAACTAGTTTTGAGATGCATTTGAAGAAGTTATAAGAAAAAGTCATGACCTAAAGAGCTAGAGAAGTTGGAAGTGACATATTAATTTATTGATAATATTGTATCCAAAGTTGAATGTAATGCCCGATTAATATGAAGATCATGGAAAATTAGCGCTGAATTTTAGATATCTAAGTAGTTGTTTTATTTACACATTTGCTTCAAACAATATACATAGAAGTATTTTTATGATTACTAACATGAATATTGTTGTAAAAATCTTGAAAAGAAAACTAAATACAATTTTTTTACTGATACAATGTTTGATAAAAATACTGATCATTTTATATTCACTAAATGGATAGACAACACAAACACAAAAACCTGAAAAAGAAAGGAAAATTATGTAACCAGAGGCAACTGGTTCACTTTAAGTGACAAAGGAGAAGAAAAACCGACAGGCTATCAGAAAAATGAAAGAAACATCTGCGGTGAATAGCGACACACGAGAATAAGAATGATTGGTAACTACCGCGAATTCATTAATATACAACTAAAAACAAATTTAGGAGTAAAAGGTGTTGAAAAAATGAAGAAAGGGGAGAAAGAATCACACTACTCCTGATATACATCGGCTTAACTATACTCTAAAAAACTAAAGCTAAAGCACAATAATCGTTTATCGGTATTCATTGACTAAAATAGATTAAGATTTACTGAAAGACATTTCAATATGTCAACATCATGACCGAAAACAAGATGAATCAGTCCTAAATTTTAGTTGATCGAAGGAAAAGAAATCAAATGCAACTGAAAAATTTTCTTGTGTAAGAAAAACTCAAGATACAAATTTATGGATGTACGATAAATTCATCTAATTGATTTCTCTAGAAATTGAGCACCAAATTTTACGAATTTGTTACTTACAACCAAGTCCAGGAACACCAAACAATTCAGAGGTAAATTCGAAAACAAGATAAGTAACACAAACAGATGGAACAGTTTTTGACAAACTAGCACTTAACCCACGATAAAGTCCTTTAAACCCATTCTTCTGTACAATGGAACACAAAGATTTGATAATAGGAGCAGCAGACGGCGATGGTGATGCTTGATATCGAGTACGAAGTAAATTGGCTGGATAAGTAATCATCATTGGAATACAACAAGATATTAAAATCAATGGAACAGTTACCATAGCTGGCATATGAACCTTCATTGTACGATCTGTGTTAGGCTGGAGGAAATAATGATACTCTACATAACGCTGTTTAAGCATCTGAAAATAAAGCACATGTGGAAAAATTTGAGTTAGACATAACTCTAATACGATGGAAAAGAAGTATACTCTAAACATGCTGTTTCAGAAACTTTATGGTATGGTGCTTGAAGAAAACTAGTAGATAAGGCTTTGGATCTGATATGAAGTAAATTTCCAGTTCTGGCTTACCAGTGTTAATTTCCTTTTTCCACAGAAAATATAATTATTCTATAAGACTATATTATCTAATCAACCAGTCAAAACAGAAAGAACTTGAGCAGCTAGGTATTTGTAGTTCGAAACTACGCGGAAATAAACACACTCCGTGTAGAATAAAAAACCGCATAAGTAGCGTACTATTTAAATAAAGCCAGAACGAACATGGATGCAGAATAACGTGAATTCACTATATTTCATGGTTTCTCATCAGCTTACAAACAAATGCGATAAAATTTACATTGAGGTAAGATATAGTGTGAAACAATTGACATAAGTAAATCAAAGGAATTGGAATTACAAAGGTTATCAATAAAAATATATGTGTGTGCAAGAACAGGTCAGAGGTCATTTGGAACATGCTCGGAAATGCGAACATGTACTCTTCTCTTGGTTCTTTCTTCCAATGTATGTGCTTTGGCACGTACATGTAAACTGTTAAATGTAGCGTTCTATTAATTGAGAAATAAATTGCTATGGTTTAATATTCAATGAAGAATAGCTATAATTAAAATTCGACTATTTTTACTGTATATTTAGTTGATCCAACAGATTACTTCCCACTTCAAAACATTCCAATACTACTGAACTACATTGTTCGATCGTGAATGTTGTAAACTATTAGTAGATTATCAGTATGGAGAGATTATAGTATTTTTAAAGTTCGCTTCACGAGTTGAGGGTTGTGCAAGATCAATTGGAGTCAGCCATTAACACCGTTGGATGCCGGCTCAGTGATCTAGAAGTTAAGCGTCCGAGTCCCACGTTCGGGATCGTGGATGAGCACTGCTGAGGGGTCTCATACAGCCTTCCAGTACCTCCAGGTTTTCAATGGTGATATGGATTAGATCGACTCGTTAATTCAGCTTTTGAAGTATTGGCTGTTTGTTTACGGTTACTGTCCGTTTTCCGGGTTCCGGAGGAAAATTAGTTGCAATACATCTGTGCCAGGCAGATAAATCTACCATTTTTGGAAATATTGAAAACCAGGTTAATTCTTTAAGTGACTTAGAAGACAACTTCTAAAAATAACAATAACAATGATTATTTGGAACACTGAAAACCAGAGTAGAACAAGATATCCACTCCACTTCTGATCTATTTTCTGCTTTTGTCGCTCTGTCAGCTAGTAACTAATTAGATGTAAAATGTGGTTTAAAATTTTTATGTGCTGATTTACAGCATCGCATAGATTAACATTTCATTGGAGCCCAACATTACAGGGGTGATAAGATTTCGACAGGACCTTCGAACCAGAGGAATTCCTACGAAAGATATTTACTAGGACCCTAAAATGCATAAGGCGAAAAGTGATTTACCATAACACGGAAAATGTAGAGTAGATCAAAAATAGAACTCACTAACTGAAAATCAAGACATAACAACTGACCTCATAAAGGCATAACTCCATTCCAGAATATGGCACGTAACTCATCATACTGATTTTGTAGCCTCGATAAAATCCTCGGAAACCACCCTCATTATGTAGTTTTCGGATTACAGAAAATATGGAATTGGCTTCATGTGACCTACGCAGAGCCATTCGAGTTTTTAAAATCTAAAATCAGACGCATATTTCGGATAAGCGACTTCAAAGTATCAAAAATAATATTTGCCTTTACTATGGCGATAAGTAATAATACCACTTAGATTCCTTTTATTATTACAATTATTAGGACAGTATCTCCTGTAATTTTGGAATTTTACCATAGACGACTCTTTAAATAGAATTTACTGATGACATATATTTGGTGTTTATCACTACCAGTGATACCACTATTATTTTGGCTTTTGGTATTTATCTTTTTGCTTTCATCTTACCGTGATGACGTAGGATGGGAACTTAAGCTGATGTCCATTTACACCAGATACTATGGTGACTATGACTGACTGCTCCATTCTGTTAAAAGTAACTGTCTAATCAGTGGCGGAAAACTTTAGCTGACATAAACAAAAATCAACGAGAGGTTTAAAATGTACTCTATTTTTCACCTTGTTTCAAGCACTGAGTATGTTACCCTATCTCATAACTACTTTTGTATTGAGTTTATGATTAACGTCATTATGTTTCACCTACGATAGATCTAGAATATTTTATAAATTTATCGTTTGTTGCCTAAGTTGTAAAATGATAAGATCTCAGTCATATGTCGACCTGAAAATGAAGCTAATTAATATAATGTTCACAATAAATGTGATTCACAGTCCATTAAATAAGCCAATGATTGATTATTGGGTTAAACATATTCATCCAAACAAACAAATTACTAATAAATTTAACCTTGTAATATTGTGTAAATTGATGAAATATCAATCGAAATAAAGATTATGCTATTTACTTTTGATTAAACTTACCTCAACTGGATAAGTTATTGTTAACGATGTGGCACCAGACAAACTAGCTACCAACAAACGATCTTCTGGAGGTAGTGGTCCTTTCACATTAGGAAAAATTACTGACTTAAGCCACCCATGAAGACCAAAGCGAATAGCACTTTCAGGACAGTTTTTTAAAATATTCACCCCATTACCTCGCCATAATGACAGAATGCCACCTTCTTTGATCATTATACGCAAGCCTAATAAATATCATAGAAGATAAAAGTACCTTGATAATAAATATACAGATTTCTGCTGTACACAGTAGAAAATAACTGTTACTGAAAGATGTCCTTTTTTTAAGCACAAGGTTTAATTCAATTGCCTTTAACATATGCGAATATTTTACAAATCTATTAAGCTGCACATATATAGACTTTGGAATCTTCAAAGTAAAACTAAATTGGACAGGAAACCAAAGTCTCCACCTTATTTCGTCAGTGACCACTTGATAAACTCAGGATTTATGAGTTGATAAAAACTGTAAGGAATGGCTAGTTCGCCAAGTTCATCAAACGACTTAAAGACGGACTATAGATCGAAATAAAAATTAAACTATGGGAATATACAACTGACTTATTAAATCCAGGGCAGAGTAGAGGGAAAACAACGTGATCAGGTTTCATTCTAGGTGTATGGGCAGAAATACAACAATAGGGATAATAATTTTGTCCATACTTAACATGAAGAGTTAAAATACAAGTGCGAAAGATATACACTGAACTTAAGAACTGAGTGGAATTGATACTACTTGGATAGACGTTCCTGATGTTTACCATAAACAGTGAATTAGGAAAACTTTGTTTTTCCACTTTTATCAAAATCTTGATAAAGATTATAAGATTTATCAAGTTTATTGGTCATAAAGTAGACATATTCATGTTTTTGGAACTAAGGTGATGAAAAGAAAGACTAGTTTACAAATGGAATACAAATGGTGACCATATAGCATGTGAGGATTAGTGAGAAAAGTATCAAGCTTCAAATTGTGTAGAAAAATCTTACAACATATTTAGGGGTTAGAGTACCCCTAAAGGGACTTTATAAGTGGTGAAGTATTTCGGCATGACAGTGTGCAAGTTGGGAGAACTAGATAACTTAACGGCATATAAAAAGGATAGATCGGTCAAAGACAAGCGGGTCAAGGGGGGATATATAGAAGTCGAGATTAATATTCTTAAAAATTCTTTACTGACTCTATCGAAGTCAATTAGATCAATGACTAATGACGCTAGATATCAGTCTAATAGATGAAGCTTTAGCTAGATAGGTGATTGTCAAATATCTTCAGAAAACACAACGACCGTATACCCCATAGATGACAACCAAAAGCAATGGTTTATTCAACTAATACACTGTATGTAGGAACATGTAAAAACTGGTATGACACAGACCATTATTAATACAGAATAATAAAAGGATTTTAAAGACTTTGAAATGACAAAACTCACTAAGCGTAAAATATATTTAAAACCATCAACACTCACTTGAAACCATGTTTTTACCTACGATTTCTGGAATTTCCATTTGCCTGAGGACTTTTAAACGATCCATAGGTGCTGTAACTGTTCGAGAAACTGTTCCAGAAATGCCACCACACACAAATCCAGCCAAATTCGGTGGAAGCAATGGTTCAGCAGTGGATTTAACCGAAACATCTACAGATTTCATTTGGAAATTTAGGTAGTACGGCCCAAGATCCTTCCTTACACTGCATCAATAAATTCTACCATTATTAATAAAATAATGTATCATCAAAAGGGAGAACATTCGTGATGGTTCAAGATTGTTAACTGAAAAACTAAACAAAACGATAAGTGAGTATTAGATAATATCTAGAGACGAACTCTCTAAAGTTTATAACTAAAATACCTGGTGGTTATTGACCTACAATGTGGTCTAAAAAGACCTAGAACTTTTCAGTGTGGTATACTCAAGTTTACTGAGAGAGGCATTCCTAATCTAACATTTAGCCTCGTTTCCCGTAATCTATTTCTCGGTCTCCAAATTAACCTTGAATTTTAATAGAAGAGCTACTGAAACGTAATCAGTCCCACTTCGAGAGGCAGCGAAGGCTTGTTAGTTCTTGTAGTTCCTTGTTATAATGAGGTTTATGAATCACATAAAACATCATATTTCTAATGTTAACAAACATATACTGTTGCGAATAGACAGGTAGCATAAGTTTGAAATCAAAAGGTACGTATTGTAGCTCATAATATGAGAAAATGTGACATAATAGTGCTTTACAAATGTCCAAACCGTCAGTATGTGTTCTAACTGATGCATGAGTCGAAAACATTACGAATAAGCAAACAATAATTGAGTAAGTAATTTTATTGTTTAGTTAGGACTTACACCGAAACATTAAAATAGTCACATCAAGGAGCCTAACGTAAAATAATTGACATTATGATCCATATATATTAAGCATCTAGCTACTTTAGATAAGATTCCATTGATACAACATCACATCCAGCACCCTACGAACCCCAATCATACCACAGTTTACAAGTTGTCTGAGGATACCTACTTTAGAAAACAAACACTGCACAGCAAAACGATTTGGCCTGTTAGCTCAATTATTGTTTTTTACTTCTAACGCCTCACGCATTTTATTTCTAGAACTCAAAAGTGGGAATGTTAACCTTAAGATAACCGATTCGGAAGCGTACATTTTTAGAGATAGCCTCAACTTGTATGACTTCAAAATAACCACGGAACTGCTTGCTATGACGCTCTATGTTGATTATAAGCGGTGTCAGACAAGAGACTAAGCAATAAAACCAAACTATTACTTTAGACATTAGGGCCAACTTCGATTCGTTGGACAGGACTGTTCTCTGAGATTGTCTAACTAAGAGTGTACCTGAGTTTATTAACATCTTAAAAGCCCTGTATACAAACACCTAGGGCAGATAAGGGCAAACAATTACCTCCCCCCCCATTGTTCTACTCAAGCAGTGGGGTTAGACAGGGTTCTCCAATCTCACCACTCCTCTTCAACTTTGCTATCGATAACTTTCTGCAAACAGGTCTGATGGATGTAGGTGTTGTAGATGTTGACTGGAGAAAGACTTCGACCTTGAGTATGGGAATGATATTGTCGAACTGAAACGATATCCAAGCCATGCAATCCGCACTTATTTATTTATTTTAACACATAGATCTTGGTACACGGAGGCACCAAATATATATGCGCCACACAGATCTCATTTGATATGTGTGAGGGCTGCCCGGGTGCCCAAACCACACTTAATCAGTCGACAATTAGTGTCCGTAGGTATGGTATATGCTTTGCACCTTCGAAGTACAGAGTACTTTTACAAGACATGCAGGATCCTGCACTCACCCTGGGTAGTGAGTGAATACTAGTATTCGAGAAGTTCGTGTATCTGGATAGCTGTGTTAGTGCTAGTAATGACGTGAGTGATGAGACCAATTCAGGTATAATGAGAGCCAGAGTGGCTTATGTCAATCTGGGCCATCTTTGGCGCCCTCGTGATGTCAGTCTGTCTGTAAAAGGTCGGATCTACAACGCGTTGGTGAGAGCAGTTCTGCTCAATACTTGTGAAACCTGGCCTCTGAGTTGAGGATGTTAGACGACTCTGTGTTTGATTATCGTTGTTTCCGAAGGATTGCTGACATCCAGTGGCAACATCATGTCAGTAATGCAGAGGTTCGGCATCGTGTGTTCGGGCACAGAGACGATAATGCAATTGGTGTTACCATCTTGAAACATCGACTTCGGTGGCTTGGACATGTTCTACGAATGTCATCCCAAAGAATTTCACGTCGTGCATTAATTGCCGACTCTGGGACTGGTTGGAAATAGCGGAGAGGTGGTCAGTGTATGACACGGTATGATAGAAAGCTGTACAGGACTGGTTTCTATTGGTCCTTCACGACTCCCTGCTTGGGGTCCTAGAGATGTTGCAACACTGACTTGAGACGTTATCAGACATGGCTCAGAACAGAAGCCAGTGGAGATCCTGTTATATCTTTCTTTTACTTTCTTCATGAAAGAATGAACGTTACTTCTTTAACCAAAATTCTCTCTGGTTGTACTTTTGCTAACCGAAATGTCTCCCCCACAATCATTATTTCACTCACACTAGTTATTGTTCTCCTTCTCCTTATACGCACTCTACACTCCTTATCTCTTCACATTCTCGTTGTTGTTGTGTGGGGCTTGTGTTTGATGCCCCTTTGTACCAATATTCATGTGCCCGAATAAATATATAAAAACAACTAAATAATTAAGAGAAACGTCGTAACGACATAATCTGACACCAAATTTACCGGATATCATGTGGAACTGAAGTAGATGATAGGTATTTTGGCGACCGCAAATTATTCGTCGGATAATTAGAAAAATTAATTCACAGGAATGATCAAGTGAGAATGTACTTATGTACACAAATACGACACATGAATGTTAACATTTAGGAGTCTCTCTACCATCTGGTCAGTACATCAATAGGACAAATGAAAATGTATCGACTCAAGATATACTAAACATTATTTCGAATTCCATCTTGTCAAACAACAAAATCACTACTGCCTAAATCATCCAATCTCCCAAGTTTGCGAAAATGTTGGGGAAACCCACAAAGTCAGATGACCAGGGTTAAAGGGAGATTTTGGGGAAATGTCGGGGTTTTGGTGCCATTTCCCCGAAATTACCCCAATGTTTACTATAGCGGCTTCCCCAAATTTTCCACAAAATTGGGAGCTCGGACATTTAAAATAGGATTATGAATTAGTTTCCAGTAACTCAATATACACTTATAGAATTTTTATCAAAAATGTGCCATAACTCCTTTAATACAAACTGCTGAGTTATAAACTACATGTGACAGTGAAACAACCCATTCATGAAATAGGAATACCCACTCCGTCATAGTTCATAAACACGCCAAGAACCAATAACACGAACGCGCGCAAGTTTGGAACACTGAAACGTAAAATTTTATTTCAGAGAATTAGCCAACCACTTGTTTCTTGCGGTCTGTGTCCGGATGGTAAGAGACCGTTCTCGATACCGAAGAGGCATGAACTTTGTTATCTTCTTCCTGAAGATGGGCTAAATTGAAGTAGTTATTTCAAAAATATGGTAGAAGAGTAACCTGTTCCTGAGCGCCTACTAAATTAAAGTTAATATCAAACCTTAATTTGAAAAATCTTGCACAAAATGCCGTTAATATCACCTCTGGTAAGCAGTTCTGCAGTTGACTGATCCAGATCATGAAAACATTTGTACGTATTTTGGTGCTAGCTCATTAGTATTTTATCCTAAATGGATACCTTCTTAAGTGTAAATTGGTACTAAAATAAGTCATTTAACTGTCAGGGTGTGTGAAGATGTGAGGAGTATGATATGTTAATACCATATCGTCTTAACCTCCTTATACTACTAGTGGTAAATTAACTTCCGAAATGAATAGTTCCGTAAGTTATCGGCATTGATGCTGACCTCATTAGTTTTGCCGACCGCATTTAACTGAAAGTTCTCGGTCATGCATCCTCACCAGACCACGATTGTGTGCGCCGCGCCACGCATCCCTTTCAGCTATTAGCCAGCTTGGACCTAACACTTGACTTATTGGTAGATATTCCATATATATCTTCTAACCCCTTTTATTTCTGACTTCTGATTTGACTGAGTTAGCATACTAAGTCTATAAAGGCGTTACGTGTAAAGGTGTTATCAAACCTCAAACATAAAATGTAATTGTTTTGAATTTTCGCTTCTACATATTGTGGTATTTTTTTAGGTATTTTCGTATATTTTTCTCTTGTTCATTGGTATATCTTGTCTTAATTAAGACGGACTAGACATTTAAGCTCTTTGGGATGAAGACTATTTCTGCCCCCCTCCCACATTTCAGCTCATGCTATTCTGGCCCAACCACAAAGAAGCCTGGTTCTGATACTCAGAAGCTGATTTCCACGAGCACGTTGTGACAGACCCACGTGCGTAGTTCCTTGCAATAGTGAAGGTCTAGTGGTATTGATCGTAACCACACAATCTTCAAAGCTGAACATGAGATAACTGGAAAAACATATATTCAACATTCAACGCGGAGAGAAGACCAATAGTGGTGAACGCGGAAATATTCGATTCAGTCGAATGGCATGGCTTAACCTCTCAGACGTGGACATTCTGTATAACATGTTTTTATTCACTTTAGTTATATTGTTCTGTCTTTTGCCTCACTGTGTTCTTCAAAAGTACCAAGTATCATAGTGCTAACTATCACGATACGATAAGTCAGTGTAAACAATTATGTGAGGTAGTCATATCATGACAAATCTACAGTTTTAGGGTTACGTCTATTATTAGAGCAGCACTAATAGCGAACTTAGAACGTAATTCTATAAAGGCACTACCACGCGCAATTTTAACAGGTACGTTACACCTGATATCTTCACTAAGGATGCTTCCAAACCTTACAACACGCTGAAGAAGGATATTTTTAGTCGTGGAGACCTAACCGACCGACAAAGGTTAGACCATTTCTCCCGCAGCATGGCTCAGCAAAGGAAGTGTTGCTACACATGTGAGGAATTGCTGGTGAACGGGTCTATGATAACGGCCTGTTTAGACAGCTCTTCTTGTCTAATCTTATCCAAATATATGCAGGTAGTTCTTGTCTCATTTTAAAATAACTCCATAGACGAACTGAATTCACCTGAAGACCGTATTCTGGAGGTCACCAGAATTCCTAACTTCGAGGTTTTTTCTGTCAACGAAAAGCCTCAACCAACACAAAATGACGTCACAGACCTCTATCATGCTCTTACTTGTTACTTAAATATTCATCGCTTTCGTAGATGCTCCCAAGCTCCTCGCGAAAACAATCTGTCTCTAGACCACAAGCGGTAGATAAACCTGATTGGTGTTGTAACCAAAATAAGCATGGTAAGTCTTCTACAAATTACAGAAAACCTTGCAGTTTCCCAATCTTCAAGCCTTCTGACACGAAGAACTCTTCGGAAACTTTCCCACCGGCACGCGTTAATGGCAACCGCATAGGGTGAACACGGCCGTCTGCTGTATATCACCGGTGTGATGATGAGAGTTTGCTACCTCGTCGACAACGGCGCAGAAATTGCCGTTCTTTCTGCAAATCCTAACGAACGACTGCATTATTAGGTTTTCAACTTACAGGTTGCGAATTGGTCACTGACTGCCACATAGAGTTATAGATGTTTATCTCAATATGGGTTTGAGCAAACTTATTCAATGGATCTTCGTTGTTGCAGATGTTTAGATGCCAATTATTGGTACATACATTGGTACATACACCATAATCTAACCATCTACCCGTGCAAACGGAGGTTAGTAGGTAGAAATACTAAATTATCTGTTTGTGTAACTATAAGGCCCAAATCTCCGTTATTGCTCTCTTTAAGATAATAAAGAGAACTATGTTTATGAGAATATATACTCCAAACTGTACCGTACACGAACAAAGTTACCTTGTGTAACCAGCAATGTTGCACACCACATAAAAACTACAGGATTACTTCTACTCTCGAAAACGCACCGATTAGCTACCGGAAAGCTAAGATTGGCAAAAAACCAATTCGAACACATGACAGACTGAGAAATCATCCAGGCATCTCCTATGCACATGGTCCCTAAACAGGGCAGCAATGATTCGCGTTCGACCGACTACTATCGGCGACTAAATAAGAAAAAATATCCCGGTCGTAACTCGCTGCCGCGCATCCACTATTTGATCGTGAAAGATACAGCTGGTTCTTGGAAAATCGATTTGGTAAATGCGTATAACCAAATTCACATAGCTACTGAAGACATTCCTGAAACTGCTGTTGTCACCCTTTTTGACCTCCACGGGATTTTTCGCATGCCCGTAGGTTTAAGAAATGCTGCACACAATTTCCACAGATTCATCTCATCTTCAGTATCTGGACCTTGTCTTCGAACGACTCCAAAAACATGACATAGCTATAAAAACTCAGAACTATTAAATCGGCACCGAGTATTCGAATTTTCCCGAACACGCTATTGATGTTTAGGTTATCCGCCCTCTGATAAGCAAAGTGGAGGTTATTCTGGATTACCAAGAACCGATCACAGTCAAGCAATTAAGTACGTTCGACAGTCTGGCAAGTTTTCATGAACGGCTCATACCGAATTGTGCGTCTTTCATGAGACCTTCAACAGGCCAACCTCGTGAAAGCTCAACAATTTGGACGACAAGGTGAAAAAGCATTCTTCACAGCCAAGGAAGTTGTGGCTAACGCAGCTATGCTCCTACACCAGAATATCAAAGCACCCATTAGTATCGCAGTAGACGCATTCGACCCGGTAATCAGAGGAGTCTTAGAACAACGAGTGAACGATAACTAGCAAACTTTGGCATTCTTCTCGATACAGGTGCAAGGCACTAAATCGAGGTGTAGCACTTTCGGTACGCAACTCTTAGTCATGTATTGTGCTGTAAGACACTTGCAACACTCCATGGGTTTGGTAGGACTTTTACTAGATTCAAATGGATACTCATATCTTTTGACCTGCGTAGACCGTTGCACTCAATGGCCAGAAGCAGTGCCCATCAAGGACATTATTGCCGAAACAGTGGCCCTCACCTCCACTGAACGATGGGCCGCAAACTTCGGCTGCTCCTTAACCATCACTACAGATCGTGGACGCCAGTTCGAATCTAAACTTTTCCGTTGTCTGACCACACTATTAGGAATCACTCGCTTCTGAACGACCGTCTACCACCCACAAGTAAACGGCTTGGTAGAATGCTTTCACCGACAACTAAAAGCTTCACTATCAGCTGCAAACGTTCCACAGTGGACCGATGCTCTCCCACTCGTTTTAATCGATATTCGCAACGCAATAAAAGCCGACTTTTGACACACTGCAGCACAACTGATGTACGGAACGACAATCCGACTTTCAGGAGAATTCATGGATCAATGACCTTCTTCAACGAATGTGGATCCGAACTTCCAAACGAGCATGCTTACAAGCTTATGCGTTCAGTTAAACCTGTTTTCACTCGACTCAAATCAACTGGTGTTTTCGTTCAACCTGACTCATGATATAGTACACATGTCTTTGTACGTCGCTACTCACTTCGACGACTTCTCGAATCAGCATACGAAGGACCCTTTGTAGTGCTTCACCGTAAATTTCAATACCATATCACCATTAAAAATGAAACCAACAACAACGTCAGCATTGGTCGTCTTAAAGTCGCGTATTTAGAAGAAGACCGTAATTATGTTAATTTTGCTACAGTACATTTGAAAGACAACTATCATAATTATGAAATCTCACTTGATAATCAACAAACACGAAGACACTTTGTCGGTATATGACAAACTCCCTAAAACAACGCGTTCTGGGAGGGAAGTAAGGTTTCCGGAACATTTGAACGATTGCTGAACACGAGATACTACATCACATCCTCATATATACGTGTATATATTTATTTTTCCCCCAAGGAAACCGTTATGCGAAAATTGTCTTCCTGAAAGCATATTTTGACCATCGGGACGAGACAACCAGGTAATTTTCTACTCGTGACGGTTCTAGAGGGAAACCACTCAAGTCATATGCGTAGTTTGTAAAATTCTATAGATGGTCCACTTTTGTCTATTGTCGTTCGTCCAAATTCGAAGCATAGTATCATCTTGCCGACGTTTCAGCATATTATACAGACCGAAAAGTTCTCTTCATGGCTTCACACTGTCGTGATATTCCAAATGATCCTTGCTGAGGATCATTTAAACAAATTGAAAGGAAATGAACATCCTAGTGTTGAATCCCTGGTTACAGCCCAAGAAAATACGAGATTTATGTTGAGCTTGAAAATCTGACCATTCAAATATGTCTTGTGATAGTCTGTCAGCGTTAACTTAATACCTACTAGCTGTAAATTGCTGATACGATGAATGCAGCTGACCCT